GGGGAGGGCGGGGCGGGGCTGCCCCGCGCCAGTCCCAGCCGGTTCCAACCAGTTCGAGTCCTGCCCCAGCAGCAACAGCAGGTGGCCAGGCTCATTTTCCTACTTCATACCAAGAGTGAGATCCACACTTTCTTCCCTCGAGGAACCCACTCACAAGGGAAGCGGTAGATGACAAAGTGCACAAGACAGAGCTGCTGCTTTTCCCCAACCTTTCCTGCTTCCCATTCCCAGGAACAGCCCAGGCCAAGAGGGACGAGGAATTTGTTTTCATCCCCGCAGCACTTGCTACCACATGCTGAAGGAGACGCTGTCAGGCAGGTCTCTGGCAGTATCTAAATAAGCCTATTTTCCTTAACCTTTGTTTCGCTTTTTGCTATAAACACCAAACAATGAGCAAAGCAATGTACATTTGGAGAAGTACTCTGTAACATTCTAGGTATTTTAGTTTAGCCAACTTTTCCCCCACAGGGCAGCACTACCCAGTAGAGCTGAACAGCACTGAGCAACCTTTACGAACACACTGCCTTGCTGAATGTCTCAAAGGAACATTTTAATAAGCATCAACCAATTTTCATGATCCAGCTCTAAACGTAAACTCATAGGAGACTTAACAGAATGGCATCCAGCTTCTGCTCCGCAATCAGTTCCTGCTTCCTTCTGTGAGAAATACCGACTCACATCTTAGAATTTAAAGAGGACAAAGTCACATTTCCCACACTTCTGGTACGTTCCTGCCCTCCCAGTAAATTCAGGTACAAACGCTTCAAACAGCAGGAACTGAATACTTATGACGGAGATTAAACAAAGACAGATCGGCACTTTCCTTCTGGAAGTTCTGAGGCAAAGTAGGTTTTTCTTCCTAAACGCTATGATGTTTTGGTTTTCTTTTCCAATCAGAAAGAAAATTATAGTCTACAAGTAGTAATTAGTGTTTACTCTAGATGTCTACTCTGATTTATTTGTGACGATTAGGTTTACAACTGACTTCAAAGCACCCCTCCTGACTGAAATTGTAACCAACCAAACAGTGAGCAGTAAAAATGTTATGTTTCAGTTCCTATTACATATTTATGGCACCAATATAATGAGTAATTTCAGAGTGGAGATTATCCACACAAAATGGTATCTTGAAACATATGGTCTCCAGTAACCAGCAGATTATTGGCCATGCTATCGTGCAGTAAGTACTTCTAGGCTGGGATGCAGAATCCTCTTCTGCTGTCAGGGTAAAAGGTCTGGAAATAGCAAAAAACTGACCAGTGATCTAAACAGCTGAGATAATGGCACATACTGATCAGTATAATTGTAATTCCATCTAATGTGAACCTCCTTTTGACCTTTAATTTTATAGGAAGAACAGAAACATACAGAGGTGATGGTTTTCATGCAGCAGAAAATTGCTGGAGTTGAGGGTGGGGTGGAAGGGGAGTTTCTGCATCTACAGGCAGGTTATTTACTCTATGCGATAATATATAGATGACAAAATCATCCAAACCACTCAAACAGCTCCTATGATCTGCTACTGAGTTAAGCCATTTTTTTGCTTTCACCTTTCAGAGCTAACAAGCTGACTTAAATTTTGGTGCATTACAGCCAGCATTTTTATAGAAGTAGAATGGGAAAAGATCTGACAGCATAAAACACAACTGTTCTGTTTGTAAGCACACAGAACAGCCTGGTAAAGGGCACAGATGCTGAGGTGCTCTATTGCCTATTTCAAGTTCTTGGCTTTTCACATCCTAATCTGGATTGGAGTCAATAATAATTGGGACAATAAGGTCAGGAAGAATAAAGGACGAGCTTACAATACTGTATGCTATATATGGAACTCCCCCCCTCCCCGAATGTTTGGCAAAAGAATCTTTTTAAAAGTGGGGTTTTAGACACCAATAATCTAGGATGGGGAGAAAAATAACTTTGTGCACCAGAGTTGTGTAGTGACTACACACTTTGATCCTTGGGTCAGGATCCTCACAGATCTGGAAAACAAAAATGACAATGAGAAGCAAAACCTATCAATAGTCACATGCACCCTCACTTTCTCTATATTTCAGACAATCTGCAAAAGAAAGGGAATCAAGGCAAAAGCATACAGAAATCTTTGAAAACTTCTCAATCAGAATGGCCCTTGACAGAGATCCCTTACCCTGTGTTTTAGCAAGATCTTTCACACTTTCTTTTGGCCCTAGGAGCAAACAAACATTACCAGCTGGCTCCATTTGTGAAAGCTGTTTGCTTGCATGGACAAGGATTCCCACTGAAACTGCTCACAAAAGAGCTGGAAGGGATGAGTATATGAATCAATCAGAAGTTGGGTTCACTGGTGACATTCTACATTCACAGTTTTGTTGCTTCTTAGCAGACTAGAATGAACTTGCATTCCCTTATTAGTTTAATAATACATGATGGTGGAAATGTCTGTGACATCTCTACATGTCAGGAAAATCTTACATCCACTGTGGACATAACAAAGTCTGAACATCTTGATGTGAAGCTACTCAGAAAACCTCTGACCTGAGCCAACTGCTTGTCTGAAGAGACTCCCAAGCTCTGATGAATGTGTTCACTGTGAGCATTCTCATCAGTGGAGGAGGACATAATTGTATATATCTGACAGACTCCTGATACTCTACATCAAATC